ATATCGCAGCCTGCTATCAGCTAAGAACTATATTACCATTTGCCATTTTATTTTTATTTTCTGCATTGCATAAGGCTACCATTCTGCCTTCCGAGACTAAACACTGTCTCCATCTGCATCTGCATGGCTGAAATATCGCCACCTTACTTATGCTTGCATGGCTAAAAGATCGCCACCTTATTTACACTTGCATGGCTGAAAGATCGCCACCTCATTTTCATTCTGCATGGCTGAAAGATCGCCGCTTTATTTACGCATCTCATGGGCTGAAAGATCGCCACCTTATTTACACTTGCATGGCTGAAAGATCGCCACCTTATTTACGTTTGCATGGCTGAAAGATCGCCACCTATTGCATCTCATGGGCTGAAAGATCGCCAAATATTGCATTTCATGGGCTGGAAGATCGCCAAATTATCCGAGGGCGTCATTGTTCGAAGGCACCATTTGCATAGCCCGAGAACGGCATGCCATGGCCTGAGGATTCCTTTAATCTTTGCATATCAATATTCAAAGGCATCATGGTTCGTAGGCATCATTCTCATAGCCCGAGAGCATCATTTCATGGCCTGCGAATCCTTTATTATACGCTTCATAGCCCGGGGCATCATGGTCTAAGGACGTCATTCTAACCGTCCACAGACAACATTCATGGTCCGACGAGAATTTGCATCACGTTTAAATTTATGCACAATATATGCCCGTATTTGCTTATTTGTAGGTAAACCAGCAAGCAACTGCCATCTCGGCAGGAGCGATTTTGCTCCAGTCCCCTACAGCCCTATCCTAAATATTGCGTCCGTGCTTGAAAGCCTCCATCGGCATACTTCGCCGACGGATCCTGAACTACATATGGCCTGATTCCTGTAACACCAGGGATATGTAGGCAGCTCAGAAGTCAGAGCGCGGCCAAACCTCTTCAAACCATTTCGTTCGGTCAAAATTGGCCATCATATCTTTACCCAACAACTCTTTTATCCTTCCCGGGTAAAGAGGGGCAGCTGTTGATACCCAATTTTTCCCTGTATTTTTTAATATGCAAAATACCTTCAAAATAGCCTATATATGCATATATAAGTATATCCCAAGGTTTTATTATTTTCCTTTATTTTTTCAAAGATTTCTAAATCAATTCATTGCTCTATTGTATCAAGAAAAATCCAATAATTCTCCCCAAAATTATCATTTTGGTGAGTCATTTATTTGATTCTCACATTTATACTAAAATATATCTAACATAATTTTTTTGCATATTTTTATAAATTTATTTAGCATTTTAAAAGCTAAATTGCGTATAATTGCAATATTAGCCTCTTTTAAGGTTTAATTATGCTCGTAATTATAAAATTGACTCCAGTATTTTTAATTTAATGATTATGTATTATTAATCATTTTTAGTGCCTTTAATTTACTTCCAGAAATTATTTATTATAAAATAAATAAAGGAAAATGGCTATTTAATTGTTAGCCCATCTACGTTTCAATTTTGGCCAGATCTGGCACCCCTAATTGGACCCAATTTCAGATCTCATTACCCGGCCCAAATCTTAAATCTACCCGACCCACAAACCTTTAAAAAATTACCCACCCGGCCCCCTTTTAAATCCCAGCCGTTGATCTAACATATCAACGGCTCACATTCGTCCTTTCCTTTTTTAATTCCCTAATACCCCCAACCCTAAAACATTCCTCACCTGTAGCCGCCCCTGGATTCCCCATCTCCCAAATTCTCTCTCAGAAACCCTAGTCGCCTCCCTCCACTTCCACCCTAGAACCACCGGAATCCATGGCTTCCAAGGGCATGGAAGTCCTATACCGGCCTCCTATAACTCCTACAGGCCTGGTTACTGAAGTTTCAAGGCCTAACCACGAAGAAGCTTGGCCCAGACCTTGTTTGATTCGAGTTCTATGGCCATCTCCGGCCTTGCTCCGGCCATCCTTGGTCATTCGAGCCTGATTTCGACTTCTCCGGCTCAGATCAGTGACTATCCAAGCCTTACTCACCATTTGGGTTCCTCTGAAACCCTATTCTTCGAGGTTCTTCTGAGTTCTTTTAGATCTGTTCTAGATCCGTATTTTCCCTAAAACTTTTAAACGACTTCTTGATATTTCTTTCAAAACTATGCTTCAAAACCTTTTATTTTTCCGATCTAGGGTTTTTGAGTTATTTAGGTGTTTCTCTGATTTTCTATTTCTCTTGTGTGCTTCTTCTACTATGTTTCTTATTAAGTTTCTTCTACTGTGTTCTTGTTTCTTCTACTATGCTTCTTTATATGTTTCTCCTGCTGTGTTCTTATTAGTTCCTTCTACTATGTTTCTTTGAGTTCTTCTACTGTGTTTCACATGTTGTTCTTTTACTATGCTTCTCATGAGTTTCTACTACTGAAAAAGCATGTTAAAGGTCTCAGTTCTTTTCTGAGACCCCTGAACCTCTTTGGATTAGTATCTTTTCCTTGATTACTTGTCCTCTCATCTCTGCACTCGATTGATGATAAAAACCCTAGAATTTGGGGGTTCATCCGAGTTTTGAGACCATTAGCTATGTGGTATGCTTGTCCTTCATCTTGAAAATTGTTTGATTTTAGAAACCCTAACTATTTCGAGTTTCTAAATTTGTTTCCTCTGTCGCTCAACTGAATCTTGAAATCTTTTTTTCAATCTCTATTTCTTTAGGCAATTCTGATTCTCTACTAAACTCTTCTAAGGTCCTTATACTGGACCCTTTGTATGATATTTGATACTATCTCTCTTCTACGCCACTTACCTATGTGACTACCATCTTTGCAATGGCATGACGTTTATTTGCCCTAAATTTAGCTTAGCATGTTTGTGTGCTCTTTATATGTGCTGAACTCCCCTCTAAAATGGCTTTCAATTTTGATTGGTTTCAGACTTCCTTTGTGAAAATCTGATTGATCTTCTATCCTTGTTTACTGATTTTTCCTATTTCTTGGTTTGAGTCGAAAACTTTCCTTAGCTTTTCTGACTTGGTTTATTCATGGACCAATAATTACAAACCTCTGACTCCTTGATTTATTATGTACTAATTGATTTTCTACCTTATTTATGTAACCGTGTATTTCAAATTTCTGCCTCTAAATAAACTCCTATGTATTTACCCCTAATTGCCTACTTTGCACAAGATGCTTGTTTGATCTCTTTCCTTAAATAATTCCCTTGCTCATTGTCGTTTAAGTCTGAATTCCTTAATTAAAGGAAGTCTTGCACTGATTGATTTTAATTGATACCCAGTTCCTTAATTATTTTCTTACCTTATTTCTGCCTGTTTTTCACACTATAAGTACACGACTCTTTCATTAACACAAGGACCCAATCATTCGTAGTCTCTTCTGAACTTATACTCACACTCAAAAAGTGTTCTCTCTTATTGTTTGTACTGTGGCCTGTTTACAAGTTTTGCTGCCTGCTTTCTCTATTTGCTTCTTTGAAACTGGTATGTCCTGATTTAAGCTTTGTAGCACCACAACAATGTGTTTTCTTACTGCTTTTGTACCCCTGTTTGCTTACTGCTTCTGTATAGTTCAACACTTTCTCTAGCATACTGATTTCTTTCTACCTGCTCTACTATGAATCCAAAACCCCCTACCCCCTATGTGTTTAAGCTATGTTTTGAGGCATGGCAATACTGCAAGTTATTGTCCGTGAATCAGACTTGATCCCCTGGGATCCTAGCCTCTAATAGTATGTGTTCTGGCAGGCTTATAGGTGTGCTAGCACTCTCCATTGCTGGGCATGCCTAAAGTCTGCCCTTGCCTAAGCAATAGGCTCTTTACAATCTCCATATTCCCCTGAACCCCTTATGTTGCTTACTTGTAGCTGTTTCCCTCTCCTTTTCCCTTTTTTAGCATTCTGTTCTGCACTTGCACACTTTCCTAGTCTCTAAGTTCTGCCCCCCTCTGGTGAGCCCTGCCTTGGGACCCTTCGAGCTCCCTCTGAACTTGGACACTTGAGGGCTGGCCCTTCCACACTGTACTGATCCCCAATCTGATAATACATTTGGGTGTGAGCATTGCCCGGAGTCCCTTCGAGGCTCTTAGGAACTTTGACACACTCAAATGAGAGAAAGGCTTTGAATCGTGATCTCTTGGAGTTGGTTTACCTCATATTTCAGACATGAGGTCTGAATCAGGCTCTCCTTGGTTGTACTTTTATTTATTTTCTTTCTGATGTATTTTACCTTATTCCGGACTGTAATAACTTGTAATAAACTCTTGGGGATGGTTAGTAAAAAGGGACGGGTAATTATGTATGCAAAAAAGGGTAGATACCATGCCTATAGGAATTTTGAATTCTGCATATGCACATAGAAATCATGCCTATAGGTCCTTCTGAATTCTGTATACCCATCATTCACATAGAAATCATGATCATCGGACTACTACATTCATATAGAAATCATGTTTACAGGATCATCTAAATCTGTCACTACAACAAAAAAGGTCTTTAGCGGCAATTTTTTTTCCTTTAGCAGCAATAAAAATTGCCACAAAAGTCTTTACCGGCAATTGATTATTTGCCGTTGTATTTGGCGTCGCTAAAAGTTTTAGCGGCAATTCTACTGAATGCTGGTAAAGACACATTTTATTGCCGCGGCTACTAAAACTGCCTGAGAAATCTACTAGCTTATACATTTAGGGGCAATTCTTATTGCCGCTAAAGACCTATTAATTGCTTGTAAAGGGAAAATCTTTTAGGGGCAGTTGTAATCGCAATTAGAACTACTACTACATTTGTCCTTATTTATGTCTTTGATGCGATTCATTTATCCAAAAGATTGTAATAAAATATTAATAATGAAAGAATAAAATATTTCATTAAATACAACAAATAAATCCATCTTCAAATTCGTAATTTCAATGTGTCAACATTACAAAAAAAGACATTTAAATTCGAAGTCTAACTAGTGTCTCTTCATTCTTCGTCATAATGAAAGTCGTCAATATGCTAAATTTCTGAATTTCATAATATATAACCTGAAATATTAAAATACAAAGTAATATTAACATCACGACTTACAATAGAACAATATGCAATTTTTTTTATAACTGATGTACTCTTTGCATAATTTTAGAATTAAATAGAAGAACAAGGACAAGTATCACTAGTTAAAAAATAGAAGTTCAAGGACAATTCAGCAAGCTTGCCCCATCTGGTACAAAGTGAGCATCTTTTGCATAAGCTTGACTCTAAAATATACCATCTGTAAGAGCCCGAATGATCTATTTTGAAGATTTAATTGTGCACAAGAGTGTAGCAACCCCTTTTATCCATCGGGATAAGGAGCTATATTGCACCAAATCAGCCCCTCATAGTACACCATCACAATAAATGTCTTGTGCATGCAGTCAATCTAAATAAAGATCAACAATTCTCAAATGAACAAGTAGCATAATCTGACTACATTTCAAGGAAAGAGGATTACTCATAATCCAAATCCACCAGAAAAATGATAATAAAGATATATAGATTTTTTTAAAAGAAAAAGGAAATTCATCAATCACAGCTTACCAATGGAAAAGTTAGCTAACAGATACCCATGGGAGGAATAGAAAGAGTATGGAAAAACAGAAGAATGTATCCCAACAAAGATTCTTTCTATACCTGTAATAATTTATTTGCGACAATACCACAGTACAAATCCAGCAAATACGCCAAAGACCTTTGTGGTTTAGACAACACATCACAAGCTTTAAATATAACAAGAACAACAGTGGCTTAAAACTTATAAAGAAACATCATAGCCAAACATATACAAGAAAAATATGCTAGGTATATTCTTGCCCTTCTTAAGTAAAAATCTTCACTTTATTAGATAAAAGAATATACATTAACAGGATACCTTACCGTTGCAGTGTCAAGTAAATTAACAATATATATGTGAAAACCCCTTTGAAGCCAAATAACATCATTATCAGCACCATGGAATACCTACAAGAGAGGAAACAAATTTTAGGAGTCATTTGGGGATGCAAATTATGAAATTGGCATACTACAACATTTTTAACAACAGCGTGGAGTTAGCAGCTTGCACTTTATACGTCCAAATTAAAGTACGAAAGGAAATCATTAATCGGCACACAAATTAACAAGGTCACCTTGCAAATTCCTGGATTGGCAAATACAGGCCTAAGAATTCACATTACATCATGCAAAGCTATTGTATCCACAAGATAATCTTCGCTTCCAGTTGATATCTGCTCAATACATGAAAAAAGTTACCTTTACATTAAATATTGACAATTTGGTCATGACACTAAAACGCTCAAATTCTGCGTCAATAGCATCAATTCGCGCACAAGATCTTGTGTCGATGACAACAATCCTTCAGTGCTTTTAGTTCTGCACATTATGAGCTATTCACGATCGTTAACGGGAAAAGTGATGTTAATTGAATGAAAGCTTCATCAAAACTTTTAGCATGAAATTGTTTTAATAAACTGCACTTGGAGAAATTGACTTAATTATTCTATTCAGACATGTAGAGTATTTGACAAGATGAACTCAACAAATTTCTAAGAAATGCATTGACCAAAAAATGTCTAACAAATTTCTTTAAAATGCACTACTTTTTCATGATTATTACCATGTGAATATTCATTCTTTTTTGTTTAGCTATGCAAGATCAAAAAGATTCCTAAACTTTAGATTGGAAAACTACTTACCAAGTTCAACCATTTACTCATTTGCTGAACTGAATGGTTGAAAAAGAGAAGCAATGTATGTTCTTAAATTGGTATTTATCCAAAGCATTAGTTTGTATAACCATAATTCCTTCTCAAATAAATATAGAGAAAGATTCTGCAAAAAATATTAGGTGGCTAGTAAGTCAAATTTGATGGTGTTGCCAACTTATTATATTATACTGAGACAATGTGAGATGTAGTCCCTGTCATTTTTAATTTTCTTTCAAGTCCCACATAAATAATGAAAGGTCTCAGAAGGAAATATAAATACACAAGGGAATACCACTTAAACACCAAATTGAGCCTTCTAAAATAATGCTTCTATAATAGAACAATAAATTATCATAATTTTACAGGAAAACTTACATAAAAGGGGCTTTCAGATTTGTAGCAGATGTTTCTTCTTTGAATAGCTCTGTGGAATCCATCTTTTACTGCACTGCAATCAAATATAACATTTTAGGCACTCTTTTTGAATACCTTGGTGTGCATTTGGTGATGCCTAAAGATGTAAACAATTTCATAAGAAGTTGGAAAAATAAGAGGGTAGCAGCAACTAAGTCGTTAAAAGATGTGAAAGCTCTGTCCCATTGAAAGATGAAGTAAGTCATCGTCAATAGCAGAAACTTATCCAAAAACTGCAACACCAACACCATGGATAAAAAAAACCTTTAAGTTTTCAAGTTCCACAAAAACATAGTACAAAAAGATTAATATTCAGCTTTTGTGTTGCGCTACAAATAGCTTTCCTAGTATCTTGTAATAGTTTCTGCATCTATCTGTTCAAGAGGGGAAAAGAGCAGCAAATCTCTAATCATAAAATAAAATACCCACCATCTTAAGTCCTTAACTGTCCTAACAACTACATATTCTGAAAAGCCAATTACAACAAAGTACATTTGTGCAAATATAACTTCTAGATATCGACATATTTTAAAGGTATAATAAAAGAAATTTAACATATATGCTAATCCATCTACCGCATGAAGAATGTGAATTTAACTTGAAAACATAATAGGAAATGGATTATTTTCATATTAAAAGATACCCAAACCATATTGAACGCAAAATAAGTTTATATAGAAGGTTGTCTGTAGGGTACGTCATAACTTATCTTTCCATTAATTTATATCTTAAGTTAATGCATCAAAGCGTTAAAATGGGTAATCAACTTCCTAAGACCCTTGATGGACAATATTTCCTCATAACCAATTATTTTAGGTAATACATTCGAATTGGAAAAGTTTACTTAATTCTTTCATCAATTATATGTAACACTTGTAATGCAGTGCACTCAAATTGGAAAGTTATGATGAGAATTCTTACCAGACATCATCTCAAAGCATGGCGTATTCTTAACTCTCATCCTCTTTATCCCCCAATATGAATCATTCATATGAAATTATCCAACTTTCAGCCTCTTTAACCCCAATATGAAGCATTCATGACTATCCAATAACCCCTCGTTTGAGAAGAGTAATTTAAACAGATAAATCATCACTAGAGAAAATTAAAATATGTAGTGCGATTTACATGGATAGAGTAATTTGTTTGGTATTTGAAAAAAATTATTTATTTTTCTGTCCTCTTTTCCTTTATCTGTATATTTAGATAGAAACAATCAAAATATTGAAACTATTGAGAGCAACTATATAACTATAATTCTTTACTTTCACTACTTTAAAGCTTTGATTCTGAATACTTCTTTTAGCTACAATTTCTCAATGTTTTTCTTTTTAGATCTACAGTATATAGAGATTAAATTTCATTCTCTTGAGGAAACAAATTCAACAACATAACGAAAATGACAATAAAATCAAATAAAAATAAATTCTCCAAAATGTCAATAATAATCCATAAAGCACCTGATTAGAAAACTGTTTGAAAAAAATCTCTAACAGATATTTGTAATTTATCAGAATAGATAAAATAAATAGAGATAAATACAGACCTTCTGCTCATAGGCCTCTTGGCTTCTTTAATTTCAGAAAACTAGATTCCTAATGATTCCTATACTCTGACGAGTGTCGACGACGAAGAGGAAGAAGCACAATAGCTTTTTTTGCATTTGTCGGCGGCACTGTTGACATTGTCGAGTAGTAATCAAAATAGAAAGAACGTGAAATATCATATTAACCAATCGAACAGGAAATAGAGAGATAAATTTTGGGTGCTAGGTTTTCAGTAGAGATTCATTGTTGATTCCTCTTTGTCCTGGATGAAAAGGGAATAAAAGAATGACTAATTAGTTATGAATATTAAGGAGGGAATTGAAAAATAATTTGGAGGGAGTGCACAAAAATGTCCCGCTCTTGGATTTTTTTGAGAGTTTAGTAAAAGGTATAAGGTTCATTGGCGATTACAAGTCAATTACCGGGATTGCCGGTAACATTGGCCTTTACAAAATAAATTAACGACAATTATTTTATTGCTGTAATATAATTGCCGCTAAAAGCCTATTTTGTGGTAGTGTGTACGTTCAATCGCACCTAGATATCATTTTCATAGGTCTTAAACGAATTTCGCACCTAGATATCATGTTCATAGGTTTTAAATAAATTTCCGTTATCATGTTCATAGGTCTTAAACAAATTCTGCATCTAGATATCATGTTCATAGGTCTCAAACAAATTCTACATCTAGATATCATGTTCATAGGCTTAAGATGAGTCTTCTGCATTTTATACCATGTCTGCAAAGGCTTACAATCAACGCCTAGAAATCATACCTATAGGAACTCCTAATCGAATCTGAATCGCTTTATTCACGAATATAGCTAAAATCAGTAATAATGGGTACTATCAATTGCAGAACTTATAACCCTCATTAGAACTTGTCTCTCTTTAAAATAACCTGACTTCCTTTTTAACCAGTACGTATCCAGTTTATTTTAGACCTTGCTATTTCATTGCTTTCTGAATTAAATAGATACCATGCCTACAGGATCCTTGTCCAACAGTTAGGCAAGCCTTAGGGTAAAGTTACAAACTGAATCTGTTCTATTAACTACAACCAGCTGGCAGGCCTGATTTGGGCTTCTTATCTGAATTATGTAATAAATCAGTCTACCTCAACCGTTAAGTTATTTCACGTTTAGTATTCAATCAGACCCTAAACAGTATGTGTAAGTCATGCTAATTACGTGCTTCTTTGTTTAAAAGGGGATATATTTGAGCCTTTGCTTGTTATGTGCTTTCCCCCCAACTTGTTATACGTGTTTTGTATGTCGCCTTAGAATTTTGCCCCTTTGAAACCACAGATAAGCCTAACATCCCTTCCTTTTTAGGATTAGTAGTCCTAATACCTACGGGACTGATAGTATTGGGACGGGTAATAGCATGCAATAGGTAAACGAGGCCATTCCGCGCTTTAATACCTTAACGGGGTGGGAAGGGTAGATATGGATATGATGACCACGCGATAATGTCACATGTAGCCCCTCATTGAGGAATGATTACCGGGCATTGTGTGGGGTGATCCATATTATTAATAAACCTAGGACCCCTCTCCCTTTATTCTTTATTTTTAACTCTTTGTTTTTTTAAAATCAGCTTTTCTAATTATTCTTTCAAACCTTGTTTACTTTCAAACCTTTATGTGATGAAATCCCCTCTTATTTGAGCCCTATTTGTTTGTATGCTAATTGTACCCAAATTCACAATAATAGTATGGCCGGGAACCACACTAGTGGATTCTGAGGGGTGCCTAACACCTTCCCCTTAGAATAATTTCAAGCCCTTACCCAATCTCTGGTTACTCAAATCAAATCTCCTTGGTGTCCTAATGCACCCTGATCATTAGGTGGCGACTCTTCAAGTCAAACCCAATTCCCAAAAGGAATGAGTTGTCCTCCCAAATGTCATAAACCTGATTTCGCGAGAAAAGGGGGGCGCGACAAACGAGCCCAAGGGCTGCTTATAACCTGAGTTCGAACAATCACTCTCTCACTCGGGGACTGCCGTCTGAAAATGAACTCAAATGGTTCGAGCTATTGGACCTTGGGGGCATAAGACCTCTTAGGCAACCCTCAAATTTTAAGGGCCACAGCAACCTCCACTTGGGGACTTTTATCTTGGGCAAGCCCGGATAACTCGGGAAAGCAAGTCCACTAGGTGACTCCCAAACTTAAAGGCTACGACCATATTAGCACGGCTCGAAGATTTCCGAGACCCGTAACAAAAACTAGGCCTTCAAAGAGAAAAATTATTCATAATCGGTTCTAAAGGCTACCCTCGGCAAACTATAATCCGAATTACTTACTTTGGGAGAAAGTTTCAGGCCACACCGAACCCCCAAAAATGCCTTAAAACAGAATAATGTAAAGGCAATGATTGTTTGAACCTTCGAACATAACCTAAATTATTTTATGCTAAGTCATTTCAATCTTTTGAACACAAATAATAAAGCAAAGGAAAAATTCGGAAGCTGAAAGGGAAAGAAAGCCTTATATAATATCCAAAATTCTTTTTACAAGGGCTAAAATGGCCCTCATACAAAATTATACAACCGTCAAAACGCCTTTTATAAAAACAAAAGACAAAAACGTTTAAAAAGATCCTGATCTTCGCCGGGGGCCGTGTCGTCACCTTCGGGGTCTCCGCCACCTTCTGGCTCATCCGTGTCTTTGGCCTTGACCATAGCAATCTCCGACCTGGCCGCCTCAAGTTCCTTGGCAAGATTTTCTTGGCTGGAGACCGCCGAGCTCAGCTGAGACTGGATCTCCTCGATTTTTTTGGCCTGAGTCGAGGCCTTTCCCTCTACAGCCCGGAGCTGGACCTCAGTCGAGGCCATTTGTGCCTGGGCAGTCTCCTTTTCCGAGGCTAGAGGTCCATGTTTTTCTTTCATTCTTCGGCCTTAGCTTTCACTGTATCCACCTCCGCCTGAAGTTGCCCGATCTGGTCAAGTCTCTTTTGAACCTGCAGGTTTGGGTTGTTAGCCACTATGTCCGAATCATCGTCACTATCTTCAAGTACTCATCTTACCAACTCGACCCAGTCGACATGCTCCTTCCGAGCCGCTTCTAGCTCAGCCTGGAGTTTCCCACTGAGAAGCTTGTAAGTGTCCCTCTTCTCAGTAAGCTCCCGAGTCTCGGCCTTGTGTTGGGTAACTCCTCTCGAATTTAGAGAATAGTCTCATGGTGAAGCACCGAGGCCTACAAGCACAAAGAGAAATGTTACGATTGTTTGCAACTTAAAATCTAAGTACATAATAAAGAGGCATTCGAAATTACCCAATTTAATGCCTGTTGAGCTTCGTTGAACAGGCAGGGTGCTTCCACCTCATCCATCTTGGCCTGGTCTTCTTCGGTCACCAAGCACCGAAGATAGCTGGCAATCCCCATGGGGGCGGAGAGAACCCGGGCATCCTTCGGGATAGATATAATGATTGACCACTTCCGGTCAGGGTCTGCACTTGGAGCTGGGAATCGGTCCACTAATCTCGGACTTGAAGAAGAAAGAAGATACCGGTAAGTCACCCAGACCGGTGACATCCTTCGAGGCACTAGAATCTATGCTGTCGAAGAAGTTATGTAAGAATCTGCCGCCCCTGAAGGCCCCCCCGCCCCCCCCGTGTGAGCGTTCTTTCAGCGTATGGGGCTCGTTGATCATGGAGTCGGTAAATCGGGGCGACGCGGAGAGATCTATCACCCCGAATGCATCTTTCGGGGCACTTTCCTCTGCTCGAGGAGTATCATCCGTGATCTCCTTGTCGACCTCCCCAGCTCGGGGCAAACGGCCTCGCCCCTCTCCGGTTTAGAGGCCTCGGTCACTGCCCCCTTAGCAGCCTCACTGGTATGAGGCACTGCGATGTTGCCTCGCACGCGGGCCACCATCTTGGAATCTTCTTCTTCTTCTTCGGACTCATCTCTCAGCCGGTGGACTGTGTCCGATAGGAGGGCACTTGTGCTTTCCTTGGGTTTGCGCACCTACCTCCTTTTTGGTTTCGGTTCTCCAAGTTCGGGGAACTCGGAGCCCTTTTCCTTTCTTCTCTTTATCCTTCTTTGGAGAAGGTGATTGGGGGAGGATGTCTTCATCTCCAAACGGGGCCCTCATTGCAACATCCTTCCTAAGGCCTATAAAGAAAAAAAAACGAGTAAGCTCAGAAAAAGCCCAGATGTTGTCTATTCTAGGAAAGGATCTTATTGTGAGAACGGGCCTCCCACCACCCCTTTGAAAGTTTGCACCACGTGCGCTCGAAATAGGGCTTCTGTGACACGATGTCCTCGACCCACTCCTTGAGTCGAGGAACCGCATCCAGCATTCGAGCAATAGCTGCACCATGAAAACATCGATAAGAATGAAGGAAAAAGGAAAATCAATAAATGAAATTTTAAAGGCAAAGTTATACTTACATTTCATGTTCCATTTCTCGGGAATGACATATCCTCAGCCATAATCAAATTTTAGGTTTTCACTTGAACGAATCGGGCCAACCAGCCTCGATCTCGATCCTCATCTATGCTCGAGAATGGGGCCTTAGAGGCCCGATGGGCATGTTTTATTAATCCCCCTTGATAGATCCGGGGACTGTACAGACGCATGAGGTGGTCGATGGTGAAAGGACACTTGTCGATTTTTCTCACAAAGAAATAGAGGATAATTACTATCCTCCAGAAAGAAGGATGAATTTGATCGAGGGTCACCTCGTAGCTCTTACAGAAGGCAATGATGACCGGGTCCAAAGGGCCTAACGTGAAGGGATATGTATAAACACTTAGAAAACCCTCCATGTGGGAAGTGATCGATTCCTCGGGCGTAGGCACCACCACGTGCTTACCAACCCAATTACAATCTTCCTTGACTTTGGATAGGAGATTGTCGGTGATCGAGCATATGTATCTCGAGACCGGCTCGCACTGGCCCGGTACTTAAGAGGTTTTTTCGACTTTGAAGTCAGCACCGGTTGGGCACCCCGCAGGGACGAACATAGTCAAGGAAGGCTCCTGTGTCTTTTCCTCAGTAGCAGTAGATGGAACATTTTCCTCTTCAGCCGGTCGCGAAGCAGAGGGAGCTTCTTTTTGGGGAACGGACTTTTGAGGTCTTTGCCATTCTTTTTGGAAAGTTAAGGGAAAAGAGGAAGTTAAAACTGGCGCAGAAGGGGATATTTTCAATGTCAAGATTTTTGAAGACATTATCTAAAAATGAGGAATTAAAGTGATAATTTGTGTTATCCAATAAAAGGAGAGAAAACGTTTTGCTTCAGAGCAGAAGATGTGTTTCATGAATTAGAGTTGGGTAATACCATTAGTTTTTGAACACATTGTGTTAGTGAAACTAAAGGTACTCCACTTTAGCATACTTAAGGGACTAAATATGCTCAAGGTTATATTTGAGGGACCAAAATAGACCTACGTTCAAAGATAAGGGACAATAATGGTAAAAAACTGGACTAACAATTGTTTTTTCTTTCAATGAGATGTGTGCTTAAACAAAAAATAGAATAATTTGGAACCTCTCGGCTTAATTCTTATCATTTTGGTTCCCTATGCAGTGTGCTATGGAGCTTCAATTGTCGTCCACTTTCCTCTCATCCTCCATCTCCAGCCCCTATTTGATGATAGTCCCCAAAGAACATATAAACCAACAAAAACAACAAGTTTTGAGTATCAAATCATCAAGTTTAATTCCAGAAAACATTTCGGGAGGCCTGCAAAAAAGTTCAAAGAAAGACCTGTCTCGTTTACTGAGAACAGAAGCCGCTATTAATGGTATCGAGAGGAAAGCCGACTCTCAGAAATACACTAACCTTTGGCCCAAAGCTGTTTTGGAAGCTCTCGATGATTCTATTAAACAAAACCGTTGGGACTCTGCTCTTAAGGTTTTTTTACTTCATCTCCTCTTGATGCTTCAATAAATTTCTTAATACATTTTATAAGGGTTTTTTCTTGCCTTGTAGTTGAAATATAAGGAGTTAAAATTCATAAGAAGGGATTCAATTCCCAAAAAATAAAAATAAAAAGGGAAAAAAGAACCAAATTGAAATGTAAAAGAAGATAGAGTTGGAACTAAGATAATGTAAGTAATCATTTATTTTCGTTGTTATATCCCATGGTTTAAGGTTCCTTATGTCTCCGGTATTTACCATTGTGCTTCATTGTTAGTATGAAACAGACCGAGCTGTCTGGTGATTTAATTTGGCCATAATATTCATTCAGCATTGCTTTTTAAATGTCATCAAACTGTGCATACCCTCAATCTTCATGTTAGTGCACCCGTATGGTGTTGTAGATTTCTCTGCAACCTATGCAGCTCCTAAGATACTCTTGTCGGATAAGTTTTCCTCGTTTACAAAATCGCTAATCGTCATTTCAAATAGTGCAACCGATCATCTTTCCTTAGACCTTTTAGTGAGTTGGAATAATTTTCTAAGATTGGCTTGAAACATTTCTCTTCACGTCACGCACCTTCATTTAGAAGCCTTTTGTTACTCTTCTGTTTAAACTCTTGATCACATGCTCAACTAGGATGGAGTGGAGGCTAGAAAAATGGGTGAACTATTGTATGCTAAGGTTTAATATTGTCATTCTATATCTTGAAGTCATAGGTAGTATTTCTTAATTTACTTTGGGTTGCATTATTTTTTCATTTATGAATCTTCTGTTGCATACAAATATTGAAGCCTGCGTCCCCAATAGTTTGGATTGAGGCTTAGTTGATTGATTCACCATAAGCTTATGTAGTCATTACTGTATTCCAATTAAAACTGTAGATAAAACTCGTATGTTTTGTTCTAACAATTTTTCTAACAGAAATGTGTTCTTACTGTTAGATTTTTGGCCTTCTTCGCAAGCAACACTGGTATGAGCCAAGATGCCACACATATGCTAAGCTTTTGGTGATGCTCGGCAAGTGCAAGCAGCCAAATCAAGCTAGCTTGCTTTTTGAGATCATGCTAACCGATGGGCTTCAACCAACACTAGATGTTTACACTGCACTTGTTAGTGCATATGGCCTTAGTGGCCTCCTTGATGAGGCGCTGCGCACCATTGATGATATGAAATCAGTTAGTAATTGCAAGCCTGATGTGTATACTTACTCAATCCTTATTAAGTGCTGCACTAAATTTCGTCGTTTTGATATGATTGAATATATTTTAGCCGAGATGGCATATTTGGGAATTGAATGTACTTCTGTGACTTACAATACCTTAATTGACGGCTATGGTAAAGCTAAGCTGTTTGAGCTGATGGAAAGCTCCTTGACAGATATGATCGAAAGTGAGACTGCCTCTCCAGATGTTTTCACCTTGAATTCAGTAATTGGGTCCTATGGTAGCTGTGGGAAACTTGAGATAATGGAGAAATGGTTTGAAAATTTTCAGGTAATGGGAATAAAGCCAGATGTTATGACATTTAACATTCTAATCAAGTCATATGGAAGAGCTGGCATGTATCAGAAAATGGAGTCTGTACTTGATTTTATGAGGAACCGGTTCTATTCCCCAACAGTTGTGACATACAATATTATCATTGAGATATTTGGGAAGGCTGGACTAATTATGAACATGGAAGAGCTTTTCCTACAAATGAAGCACCAAGGAGTGAAGCCAACCTCATTCACTTATTGCTCTATTGTCAGTGCTTATGGTAGAGCTGGACTTTTGGAAAAAGTTGATTCAATCATGAGGCAAGTAGAGAATTCTGACGTAGTTCTGGATACTCCTTTTTTCAATTGCATCATTAGTGCTTATGGTCAAGCTGGTGATATAGAGAGGATGGTGGCATTGTTCTTGGAAATGAAGGTCAGAAAATGTAAACCAGACTACATCACATTTTCTACCATGATCCAGGCCTACAATTCACAAGGGATGATTGAAGCTGCCAATGACTTGAAGAGTAAAATGATTACTGCTTGTGGTACTTTCGCTAATTATACTATCCAGCCTCTGTTTTTCCTTATGCATATCATTTTTGCTTCATTGTATGAATCTTCACAGACTTACAGTTAGTAGCATAAACGAGCTATTTAAGTTAGCTCCATCACATTTCTGGCTAAATGTCGATGATAATGAAAAAGGCTGTCGTATTCTCTAACAAATCAGCTTTTATTTTTCTCTGTTGTGTGTACTAAGTTATTCTTTCAATTGACTGCTTGATATCTGACACTTTGTTGTTACATTTTCTTAGAATCAAATGAGAAATGATCAGCGGCTAGTACTATTATTCTGTCACTGGAGGAAAACTTTCACGTGGAATTCTGTTCATCAATGTTGTGAAAGTGCGCAGAGTGTTATCTGCATGTGATCTTGTAAGTGTTTGTGTTCTCTTGTTCATTGTCTCTGCGTTTTGTTTCTGGGAACTCATCTAAACTCATTAAATGGCCTAAAGTTGAAAGGCTTTTAAGCAGTCAAAGTGGTGAGCCAAAGTTGAAGGGCCTTCATGCACTCAAAGCTCATGCTCTTGGTTTGTAAGACTGAAGATTACCCTATTTTTATTAAATAGAAATTCAGTTTTTTCTTAAACCCCCTCCCCCCAAAAAAAGGAAAGAAAAGAGAAAGAAGAGAGAGAAGTAGTGCCGCGATTGATGCCCTGACAGAGATGCTTTATTAGCTATTTATTAAAATACATGCATTTACTGGGAAACAACTTTAATATTCTCAAAATAGATTCATGTCAATTATCACCTACATGCCTATTATGAATACATTGGTGGAACAGAACCACTCAAAGATGTATTTCCTCTCTTTTTGTTTTTGGATGTGAAATACTGTCGCTCTTGTAAATTCTCTTATATTTACATATCTATGTATTTACTTATTGAGAAAATACATATCATCTATATACGTGTTTGAGTATACTTCATCGTAACAATGTTGATCTATTTGTGTAGAAGGATGCTATAACAATTTGTAAAACAGATGGCATTGATCCGAGGAAAGAAGACAGACATAGTGAGTCTATTTGCAGCAGTAAAACTTCTCTTCACATGTTTCTGTTAATTTTAAAGGCCTTAACTCACAACTAGACAGGATTGCGGTTTTAATGGTGGAGAGGGAGGACGTGATCAAGGGACGGCAATTTAAGGCTCTAGAGCTCTTGCTGGGCAGCCACTTTGGTGTAACTTCTCTGTATAGCTTTATGGTTTGTCTGCCTGTGTATGAGAGAAGAGAGAAGATAGGTTCTTGTTATCTGGGATCTGACTCACAGCCATTCTCGAGGATAGGTTCGGAGCAGGTCAGTGATGTAACAGGGCTTTCAAAAGGGCAAACCAATGCACACGGTGGAGCATTATTAAGGCAGATGCTGATTCTTCCTTCTGAATTGGGTCTTTTTACCTCTTACTGGCTGCAAGTCCTGAGTAGCAGAGATATGGAGCATTAAAATGTAAGGCAATTTACCAGCCCTTTGCTTGTTACCTGTTATTGGATATATAATTACAATTCATGTTTGACATATCTCTAAATAATTCAAATGGATTCAGCAGAAGTCTAAGAGAAAAAAAAAACAGAATTTTCCATTATAAACTGTTGAGTTACTGTCAGTGCTTCTGCCTTGTAATTGCTACTTTTGCTCTTTGAGGGATATTCTCAGCTGATCCTTGTGGATACGCCAAGAGATCCATCTGTACAATATAGTAGGTTCTTTGGTTGACTGAGATTTCAGATATTCTAATTTATGGCTTACGCTTGTCCTCGCTCAGGGGCCCAGGTTGGGTTTTGGAGGATGGGTACACTGGAACTCTTGCCCATGCACAAGTATTTGGTAGAATAGTCAAAGTGCACACAAATTGGACTAAATACTACCTTTAAAAAAAGGCAAAAATATAAAAAAAAAGTGCATTTTTATTTTTGATAAGGTAAAGCATTATTAATAAAAAGTGTACCAAGAAGATACACAAGAGTACAAAATAGAGCAAACAGCACCTACAAAGAGCACTCTATTACATCTTTCTCAACAGATCCAAAAATTCTAGATACTGATCCATACTATCTAATAAACACCTACTACATCAGAAAAACAGATTATGCAGACATAAATATTTTATACTAGAACATTCTCAAAACAAACACTATTTCTTTCTGTCCAAATGGTCCATAAAATGCATAGGGGAATGGTCCTCCAAAGCTGCTTCTGGGACTTTGAATTATTGTGGTTTATCGTATATGATTGAATTACTCTTTCTGACCATAACTATTAGAGTATCATGTCCTTGAGTGACCAACCATATGGCTACTTGAGTGGTGCACGTTAGTTTCTAGAAGTGGATCGAAGGTCCAGGACACCGTTTGAATCTGATGCTACTTTCTGAAGAGCAGCAAGTACCAAACGACCTACAGATAGGTCTCATTGCAACTCATATGCACAACTACTTTAATTAGCATATCATATTTGGAGAAAGTTCTTCTCCTTCAAGCTTTCAACAGTGTCCTTCAAACTAACCTCTAGAGTAGTGAAATTGATGCCTAAGCTTTTGCCCTTTCCGTAGATACTTGGTAGGGTAGCATCATAGGCAGCTCCTTTTCATACCTACATCCACATACAAGAATTTGAGGTACCATATGCTAGATAAGAATTCTCAAGATAGTAAATAACTTATTTAAGAGTTAAGCTATAATGAACGATATCTGAATAATTTGAAGACATCAAATTCTGTTTTCTCTCAAAGTTTATTCACTTGCTTCATCAAAATATCATTAGTTACTAGATGTTCTGAGGTAAAATTTTGAATTGTCTCTGCTGAACAATGTAGAGTTAGCTATGACAAATTTGTTGATATGAATTGAAAATTATTTCTGTTTTATACATGCTGAGGTTTGTCATAATCGGTCATCATGTGTTTAATACCTTAAATATTACTATCAGATACATACTTCTCAGGGTTGGTGATAGAAGGGTAAAGCTTGTGTAGAGTCTTCATAACCCTAGAAGAGGACGTAGTTATCTCAACTAAACAGTATCTGCCACTAGCTGAAGGAACTTCTAATGGTTGAATATGTGCATTAGCAATGTCTCTAACATTGACAAACCAATAGATTCCAGTAGGCGACACATCTTTGCCTGCATCATGTAGAAACCATCTCTCACACTAAAATGTTTGTCATGGGATGCTTATTTAGAAAAAAAGGTGTAAACAGGAAGGAGTAAGGTATAGTTGGTGAAAAAAGATCACCAGCCCAAGGACTTGTTAAGTAGCCTCAAAAGACATGATAGATAATCGAGGTAAGCATTTTCTTCCATGTAAATTAGCTACAGATAACTAATTTCCTCTCCTTAGAGACAGTGCATATCACTCTCTAGAAATAGTCAATTTTCTAGTATCGGCAACAATCTCGTATTGCCTTTAGGTGTCTTTTAGTGATATTCGATGTGTTTATAAGTAGAAAAGACTACCTTTCATGCCTACATTGTAAAAGTTTGATATCTGAACTAGAGGGAACTATAATTTTGTCAAAAGTGCTAAAGTCATCTTGTGAGATGTCAAAGTTTAGTCAAAATCCAGCATTGCGAGCTGCTCTAGTAAAGAAAATAGAAAAAGAACAGCTTTTATCAAGTATGATTAGCACCAAGTCCCCGGGGATCTACCGGAAACAACCTCTCTACCTTCGCAAGGTAGGGGTAAGGTCTACGTATACTCTATCCTACCAGATCCCACTTTGTGGGATTACACTAGATTTGTTATTATTCTTGTTGTTGATTAGAACTAAGTCTATGTTGCAATACATTAGCTTGGTTTGGAAATATATTTTGCATTCATATTAAACACAAGTTAAGCGTTTGATAATCTGAATTGCATTCGCATTATGAGTGGTAATATGATTTTATTTTTGAAATATTCTTTTCAAAAATTAAAGCAACCTTTTTATAGATTTTGACGGAAGGTGATTGCTAGATCTCAATAAATTAACAGTAAAATAATATCTTATACATTGAGGTTTTTGTGATAGATCTTCGTAAGAACATAGATGTATGTAGGAGCTATTAGAAAATATAAGTCTATATATTAGAAAATATAAGTCTATATACACAACATTATTATTATTATTATCAAGCATTACTATATTCCTTATTATCATAATTTATTATCGAGGTGCACGCAAGTTCCTCCTAAGCATGGAGGACAAATTTTTCACTTATGAATTTATGACATCCAGTATATATGTGAGAACATTAATACATGAAAACCTGCCAAAAGAACGAGTATTCAAGACAGCTAAAACATGCTTGCAAGTCGTGAAAAATTCAAGTGAAACACATTAGTGAAGTTATTGTATGGGCATGGTATTGTATCGTGCATGTGTAAAGTTGGTGGCTGATTCAGGATTTAAAGTTGTTAGTACTGAATTCCCTGTAGTTTTGCAATTATGGGTTCAGAATTTAGTATTTGTTGAAATTTCTGATCATATGTTCAATGTAAAATCGGAATGGGTTCTGTTGAAACCATTTGCCTCAAATCAAATGAATTTCGTATCCATATCAACGTTAACATTCATAAAGAAAGGATTACAAACAACTTGGGGCATCTTCTCTTTTGCTTTCTCCCTAACAAGCATAGCATGACAAGCGAGCAAGCGTAGGTAGAAGGGACTCAGCAGTTTGCCAGATGGAATTAATACTTTTGTAATGCAGCTAAATTGTTTACCTTTGATTTGCCTGAAAGAGTAACTGGTGACAACCCTCAACAACAGGATCTAATGATATCTCCTCAAGTCACTCTGCTTTGAATAGATGTAACCTATCTTTAGCACCATAAAAGCCTAGTAGGTGTGCTAACTTACTTGGATCATCTCTATGATATTTGTTCATCAATATATAACAGTTAGATCAGCAACACAGTATTGAAGTTAAACTCGATGGATTCAAAGCATCTTTTGAGACTAAACACGGTGTACTTTTGAAACAACGGATTCTGACGTTAACGTTTGTTGAAATTTTAGTGGTCTCTCTCTCACGCAAACACACATATACGTTTCTTGTCAAAAATACATTGCTTCAGTTAAACCATAAAATATCGGGTGAGTTTGCGTTTGGCCGAGTAAATAATCCAATGGATGATGCAGGGCAGTAGGGTGATAACAACAAGAACAGGATGAGTAAAGGTAGGGATTTTATTAATAGCAATCACAGCAGACTTCATTTTCTGCTAGAACATGACTAACCATGAAATTTCAAGTGCTAGGACCAATAATTTGAGCACTTCTCTACCTAAATTAGGAGGCTAATGTGTAAAGTGCCGCTAAATAGAAATCAAGGTACAAAGTGCCAGAAATAGAGAACCCAAGTGCAAGTCCTTACTTTTCAACCTTTCGACTTTCCCCCAAGGGGCCAGAAGAAGATACCCAATGTTCAGGGTAGAAAGCCAGGGTTTGGTACGTTAACGAGCTGGCCGTCGAGAGAGCACTGAGACAAAGAACCTAGCTAGGAATTTCCCCACCCGTTTCGACTGAATGGATACTTCGAAATAGAACGAGAAAAATTGAATTTGATAAATTCAACTTATAAGACTTTAGAGCAATTAGAAAATTACAAAAACGAAACGATTCAGTTTGAACAGCAAAGGGCGATTAATCAAGTCCGACAGGGTTTTCCAACAAGCCTTACGAGGAGCTCTAGGAACTCTAAATAGTTGTTTGAACAACGAGTCACATTTAAGTACCATTAGTGCCAATATTGGCATGTGCAAGCTTCTTCCAAAGCATACTGCTTTCTAGATGTAGATGATGATATCTATACAGATGGATTTTATATATATCGTAGAATGAAGTACTACATGGGCGGATATATATATATATAT